AAACGTGGACAATCGAGTTCGATTTGATTCTCGCTGATGTACTTGCTAAAGGCGTCCGTACCGCATTCCCATGTCTCACCATCCTCATAGTCTTCCATCGATTCTGATGAAGACTCATTCCGTCGCGATGGCATCGCAATCGCCGTGTAGATGGTGGCTAATACGACCGCTAACCGCATCCTGAAACAGAGATGATGAGTCCTATGTGGATACGAATTACTGTAGCTTTTCGTTGATATTTCTAGCGCGGATGCTTTTATCCTATGCATTGATACGATTTCCTGGACTAAATCTAGTGAGGTACGGGTTATACAGGGTCAGTACGAAAGCCTGTAAAAAGCCTGAAAGAGCTGACTGAGAAGAACCAGCTAACCAGCTATTTTTTTGGGCAACGACATCATGTGCCTTGGGACGCCGTACTTTAGCGCATCCCTCCAAAAAAGGATGTACAGCTTGTCAGTTGAGGGCGGACTGTGCAGAGGGGCTGAGTCGCCTGCTAGCTTCCACAATTGGAGGACGGAGCAGTGTCGCGCCCAACCCAGTCCCTCCCTTCACCATCCGCAGAGATCAAGATTGTAAAATTCAGGGCCACTAGCCGCTTCGTGAGGATCCAGACTCTGCCTAGACCATCATCTTGTTAAGGTGACACGGTACGCTCACTTTTAACCTTTCTAACCAAATGCTTCTGAGCGGGATTGATCCCTGCAACCCACCCACTCTACCTATTTCGCGTTCCTTTGCCTACAAAGTGGAGTGTGGTTCCTGATGGTTCGTTATCGGGATTTGACCAGGATATCAAGACGCATTCTGCAATAAGCTGAGCGAGAGAAAGAGCTAAGAGTCTCAGTCTATGCGTCCTCCTCGTTGATACACTCCTTCTTTTAACCAGGCAAAGGGGAAGGGCGAGTCATCGAGTAAAGCACAGTGATTGTGAGACTCCGCCCATCCGACTATCGCAGAATGTGTCATTTAATGCTTGCAGCTTTCGCTAGAGTGCATGCACGGACTCTTTGGAAATCAAATGACTAAGAATGAATACACTGCGAGAAAGATAGTTCCGTGAACACCCTGCAGCAGGAAGAAATGACCACAGTTTCACTGGGCAGGAGAATTTCTATGGCAGTTCACAGTTCGGCGACGGGGCCATTTAGCACTTTTGCTATTTCTCATTGACGTGTCAATCCATCTAGAGCAATTTCGTAAGCTTAC